TTTTCTTTTATCATATTATTGTATTACAATACAATACTAATATAAACCAATGTTTCTTAGTTTTTATTTTTTAACTTAGTAAATTAATATTTTTAATGTGTTAAGAGATTTAGCTTAATTGACAAGTATTTAACTATTCTTGTAAGTAAAGATCAACCATGGAATTGGAATCATAAAGAGCAACATGCATTTGATATATTGAAGCAAAAAATAGATTTAACTCCAATATTTTGACTTTCAAATACTACTAGAATTTTTTAATTGCTCACAAACTGATGCGTGGTAAGATTAAAACCAATTTTGATACAAAAGAATGATATAAGAAAAACACATATCATTGTATATGTTTCTAAAATGAATAATAATATGAAATCCAACGATTTATTTTATAAGAAAGAAGATTTGGCAACAATTTTGGCCATTGCTCACTTTTGATCCTACTTGTATGAGTAATAATTTACATTAGTGACTAATTATCAATCTTTAAAGTAGCTTATCGAATGAAACAAACTTATTGGCAAGGTTGCTAGATTAACATTGTTGCCTCAAGACTATAACTTTGAAATTATATATTGGATAAGCATTATCAATTTGGATGCAAATGGACTTTCTTGTAATCTAATTTCTTTAGAAGAAGACTTGATTGGAGCATTTTATTAAAAAATTAAACATTTTAAGGCTTTATATACTAAAGCTTTAATTAATCATTATACTATCAATAGAAATCATCTTGAGGTAGATAGCTTGGCTGAAAGGATTATTTAGATTGTCAAGCATGGTTTATAAAAGTATTGATTGCTTCATAGCAACTATTATAATTAAGACTTGATATTGCCATATATTGTAATAGATTATTATTTTAACAAACATGCACCTTTAGCATCTTATAGACCTTAGAAGTTTTTATATGGATGAGAATCAATTCTATTGCTAGATCTAGTTATAGACTTATATGACCTTAAAATTCGGGCTTAAAATCTAAATGCCCAAGCAAAATTATTTAAAAGACCATGCCTTTGGTCATGGAGAACTTATTTACTGTTTAAGCTCATAATACTTTATAATGAGCTTGCATCCATAACAAAGATTATTGACCTCAATTGTATAGATTTTTTAAAAGGAATTATATGTATTTGCAAGGTGATGCATTGTCTTTTTATGTATTGTCTTCTTTAAGAATGCACTAAGCACTTTACTAAAAAAGATGACTTTTATTTTACAACAACCAAAGAATCTAAAAATCATAATAAAATTTTAAATAAATCTTAATGAAACTTTAATAATTCTAAATAAACTTTATTTAAAACATAAAAAATCTTATAGAAATCCTAAAAGAATCATTAAATAAATCATAAATAATAATAAAGAAATCATAAGGAATATTATAATAATTTTAAAGAAATTATAATAAATTTATAAAGAAACCAAAAAAAAATTCTAAAAAAAATCTTTAAAAATTATAAGGAAATCTTAAAGAATCCTTAAATAAATTCTAAAATTGCCTTGATCAAATCCTAAATAAATCCTAACAAAAATCTAGTGAAATCCTAATCATATCTTAAGTAAATTATTAATCCTAATGAAACCTTAAAAAAATTATAACAAGTTTTAATGAAATCCAATAACAATTTTAAAACCTTAATAATTATTAACTAAACCATTGATTTTACTTCAAATTTTACACATATTGCAATCTACTAATTAAAATCAAGCATAAGATATTTAAAAAGTATCTAACTTATCAATTAGAAAAAATAAACTCTTAATTTATTTGGATGTCAATTGTCTTCTTTTTGCAACCTTAATGTTAAGCCACCAGCAATTGTATCTTCTTATTACACAGTTCAAATATCTTCAAAATTTACAAATTGTTTAGGAATTAAGTTGACTATGAGCTCACAATTGTTTCTCTCAATCAAATTATCTAATTGTTTACATCAAACAAAGGTTGTGCAAGTTGTGAAGAAGGCATAGTATTAATTTTAATTATTTATATATTTTCTAAAATAAAAACTTATAAATATATTTAAAAAATATTTAATTCTTGCTCCATATTTATAAATAGCCTTATCAAGATAGACTTTTAGAGAAAAATATCAAATTGATACTAGAACCAATATATTTGAAATATCTAATTTTTAACTTCTTAATTTTCATAATTTCACTATTCAGATGCAAACACATTCCTATTATTTGCAGATGTTTTTTTTCTATATATATAATTTTGTATGGTTCAATCATGCCATATTTTTAAAAATAATTTCTTATGTAATTAAAATTTTCCATTTATTTGTTTTGAAACCGTAGATATGAAGAATTAATTATATTTATATTTTTAATTTTTAATTTTATTGAGCTTCTCTTCATATACTTTCAACTAGTCTAGAAGAACTTATATTGGAATTGAAGCTTTTTATATTGAATTTTGATATTTAAAGTATTATAATAGACATTTTAATGAAATCTTATTATAAACGACTGAATTGGAATTGAAGGTAGGAATTGAACCTCTGCATATGCAATGTAAGATGAAGGAATAACATTGTGTGAAAAGATAAAAATATCTCTATTTATTTTCTGAATGACCAGAATTGCAAGAAGACATGGTTCTTTATTATTTCAAATGAAACCATGAGGGAATTAAAGTTGTTCTTAATTTCATATAAAAAAATTCAATGTTATTTTAAAATTTGTCTTCTTAGTACATATACAAGTATGTAAAAAAACTGAATTTATAACAAAATAAAAAAATTGCAATTCTGGTAAATGATGCATGTATAATTGACTTCACGTAGAAATTACAAAGAATAATATCTATAGATTTATAACACAGCCATCTACCAGAAACAGATAAATTATCATAGTTTTTAAATAAATTTTAGAATAATTAAAATTCTTATATAAATGTTGTATGTGTTATTTCATGATGTACAAAATTTGATCTTGGTTTAAGTAAATGAAATTAGAAAAATAATAAGATAATATGTGGCATGTGGGTTAATGGACTGACATCAACAATTCATCTTTCAACAACATGATGTATGTATACTTGCAAATCAATAATTAAATTTTTTCAGATGAAATTGACATTTAATACTAATAATATTTGTAATACCACCTATCCAAGGGGCAATTAACACTACTTATACCTAAGAAAGAACACAATCTTGCAATTTATTTTATCAGATTTCTAAATGTGAGAGGTTTATGTCAAAGTTTTGTTAATGCTATGTTAAAATAAATCAATAAAGAGTTATATCATTATCAAAATATAAAAATAGTTTGAATTGATTTTAGATTTAGATTTTAGACTTAGATTTTAGATTTAAATAGTTTTAGACAGTTATGTACATAAATTTATATATTATTTGAGTACATATATTCATTTTGATAGATATATTCGTTTCCTTTTACATGAATCATCTTTAACTCATAAAAATATTCTGACATTTCTCAATATCTTATAAAGCAATCAATTCAGCTTATTCACTTGTAAAACATATTTAGTTTTTTAAAATTAATATTTATTCAATGTTAACAATCTTTACTTTTGAAGGATAAACTAAAGATAATACTTGTAATTCAAGGTGATAACTTGAACCCACCAAAACAAAAATATAAATATTTTATATGAAAATAACATCGTGTACATTCCTGTGCACTTCACCACACAAGAATGCAGGTTTTTAACATTTTAAAGCACATAAATGCAAATCTTAGTATCAAGGCATCATCTAAGTTTGTCTTAAATCTTTTGTGTGCAAGCAACTCAACTTGCAAAAACAATTGCCATTAACTGATCTAAATTTCAAGCCTCATGTGTTTTGTTTTTTGTTTGTTTTTTGTTTGTTTTTTTTTTTTTTTAATAATTTTTTACTGTTTTTTACTTCTTTTTTTAGCGTTTATTGAGGTTAATCACGGCCAATTTAGTTACTCTTACGATTTATTTCTCTTCAAAGTCTGAAGTACTTTACCTGAAGTATAAATAATATAGTCTTGAACTTGCATGAACTTTGAAAATTAACACATTAAATATTGCCACACTGATGCCAAAGGAACTATTTAACATTGATGTTCATATAGTTTATGACTTCAATCAACGAAAATGTTGTATTGCTTTCAAATCTGTGTATAAATCTCATTAATTTTTTCACTCGCCTGATGCAAACGACGCCAGTACAGAAAAATTGGACAGAAAAGGAAAATGAGAGGTGGGACAAGAGGGGAAGAGAAAAAAGAGAAAAATCTGAACTCTAACGTAAAATGTTCCTACTCGCCACCTGAAAATTGACTCCGTCTGCTTGTTCAATGTTTGTTATCCACTTAAATAATAGAATAACACTGTGAGTGATGATTGTCTTCCAACAGAAGCCAGCTGCAATCTTGAATCTTGATCCTTGCAAGTCAGAGTAATAGTGCACTTGGTACCAATGACAGCACCAACAATTATTCTGCAGCAAAAGGATCATCCAGTGATGCAAACTCTCCCTCCAAAAGCGACTGGTTAGTTGAGATCTTGATATGTACGTAAAGCTTAGTCATTCATTGCCCATCTGGACCGAAAACTTATGTTGCAGGAAAAATAACAAAAAGAACCAAAAATAAAACAAGAGAATAGAAAGAAATGGAGAGGAAACGAACAAGGAAACAGCAAAAAGCCCAATAACGTCACCAGTAGAACCTACCGTTAATCATAATACGGTGTTAGTAATAGGTTTTCAATAAAATCCTTGTACAAGGCTATGCAGGAAACGTCCAACTGATAAGCGTCCATCTTAATAGTCAACTCATTTGAATCATTCACGGGGACAGTTAGGACACAGATTGGAAGTCTTCATGAACCAGCGACCTCCAACATTCACTTACTCGACAGTTCCAACAAGGGCTCACCAGCTATCGTTCAATTCTGTCATGCAGGTCTACAGTTTCAAATATGTCACCAAGTCCTCCCAATCAGTGAATCTGCCACGCATGCGAAAATTTTATCCAGACATGCAAAATTGATAGGCAATGAAGCATAGCATGGAATCATTCTGCACACAAACTGCAGTGACCCACTCTGTACACAAATTTATACAATATAGAATACATATGGGCAGGTTCAGGGGTTTTTTTAGCGAACACCCTCTGCCATTGCAAGGACCTTGGTACGATCCAAGAACGGCGTCTCTTCCACAATTAATTTACACCATTAGAGAGTCTCGGTATTAGTGATGGCTGAAGCTGCCAGTCTAATTTTCATGACGGGAGATCATGTGCGGAAGAAATAGATCACACAGACCCCAAGCTCGGGCGAAATGGGGAGCTCGAGAGAAGAAGCTCACATTCACGGCCTTTGGATTCGTCATGAGGGAACACAGGCACCTGCTCCCACTTGTTCAAGGACAACCTGTACATGGCAGAGCACCACTGCTTTCCAGCGCATCCCGTAACACAGATGTAATTGCCGTCCACTGTGCATGCGATCACTCTCTTGCCGATTCTGTGATACATATCATTTGGGAGCTGCGAGAGCTTCACCCACTTCGTTGATTTTAGGTCATATTCGAAGAGGTAGACGCAGTCATCGGTGGTCTCAGTAACCCGATTGTGCTCGGCTACCGCGAGAATCCGATCATGACTTCCAATTACATGCGGTGTGCGAGATCCATAAGGTATATTGTAACACACAGTTGACCATTTCCGAGAACCAAGGTCAAAAGCAACGAGGATGTCCCAGATTCCATGTTTTTTATCCCGTGCAAGACAGTACAAACTATTGTTACAGAGGGCGCCTTCTTGGCTATGGAGCTCAAGATTGACCGGGATGTCTCCAACAGTTTCCCATGCTTTCGAAGATGAGTCGTATATTTCGGTGTTTCGGTAACCAGGGGAACCTGGTTTGAAGTGGCGATTTCCGGCCAAGACCAATTTGTAGCCTCCAGTTCGCTTGTTAATCGCCATAGCCGTTACGTCAGGCTCCGCCCATTGTTTTATAGTGAGAGGCAACTCTCGGAGGCAGCGCGTGACGGGATTGCAAACCACGAGATTCTCTGTGCTGTCAAAGTCTCCAATGCACAGAAGTCCCCCGGAGCCAACCACGAGGTACTTGGGGTGGCGAGCATCAAGGCACGTAAGAGGGGGCAGACGAAGCCACCGGCAGGACGCGGTGTCATAAGCAGACCATGAATCAGAGTTCCATCCCTCGTCTTCTGCGTCGATTGCGGCATCTTTGCAGAAAAGAACTGGGAGGCATGCTCCCCATTGATTCGGAGCCGAGGCCCTAATTTGACGAAAGTAGGAGCAGTGCGGCAAGGAATTCCACCGTTTGCAGACAGTGCGTAGCCGGAAGAGATTCGGGAAGGGAAGGAAGGCGAGTACGCGCTCTAGAAGCTCCGTAGGCAAGGAAGACCACAACACCGGCAATAATTCTTCGCCTGCTTCGTGTATAGGATTTCGAGGATTACAACATGTACCTTGATGCTGGTGTGTAGACTCCATCATCTGCAATCACAACACGCAGATTTGTGTTCAGAGCCAGTTTATGTACAGAATGTCCAGCACTAATCAGTCTGTACAGTCGCGAATACTAACCAATTGCACCAAAGAGCCATTCAGCTTGTTTATGATGGCAATTGCTACCATCGAATCCTAGGTTTGAAACTGTGATGAAAACATCGCAGTATGTATCCTTTCAGCTCCCCATTTTCATACTAATACAGGTAACCTCAGCTCTAAAATTGCTGGTAGAGAATCTGCGCCTGTGCAGATTCTCACACATAATGCCACATATGCGAAAGAAGAAAGAAGTAAAAGAATTGTAGTGGATAGGACACTATGACTTAAGAATCTCGGCCAGACGCGCATTTCAGCGAGCAAGGGAGGAGATCACAACTTACTTGAGCAAAGCAGAGAGTATCTATCGCAGAAGCTCCAAATCAAAACCGGATGATCCTCGAACTGGATTTCTTGAAGCGTTCACAAAGCAGAAATCTTCTATGCGCCTCCAGACTAACTCGCAACAACTCACCAACACTCGCAACCGAACTCGCGCCACTCACTCACAGGCTGTCGAGAACAAAAACCACCTCGGAATCCTTCAACAAATACTACTAAAAACCTCTTCGAATCCCATTCTGTCCAAAGAACACGTCAAACGGACGCAATAAACCTCCCGATGGTTCCACCGGACTCAAACACCAACACAGATCAAACAATAACCCGGTTCATCCCAGAACAAGCATCACTGATCCATCAGATAAAAAGCGACTACGGTGCGCTCTTGACAAACCTAAAGAAAACCACGAAGAAAAAAATACACAAGCGAAAAATGTAATCTGTCCGAAAGGTCACCGACTTGATCCGAAACGTGTGCTTCGGTTCGGACTTCGGATCCCGCAACACACACGGCTACAGACGAAGCCACCTCTGGTACAGCAGCACACCACCTTCTTGACACTTGTAGCTTGAAATTCCGTAATGGTGTCTTATTATTCTCCTTGCCCAGTCAGTAATAGTCATGCCTATCCGATCCGGTGACGCAGCATTCACTCCGTGTAGATGAAAAAACACAAAAATCATTTCCCTCCGGAAGAGCTTGCTTATCCCTGTTCACTTCCCCGCAAGCTCAAATCGCCATGCACAGTAGTCTAGTCAGGGAAGAAGGGGGAGAGAGAGACGAAGCCCAACGCTCACCACGGTCACCACCCCCCCCCCCACGCCCGCTAGCAACGCCTATTCCCGTAAATTGCCGACGACTGGTTCCCACGGACAAAAGCTCCCTGCCATGGCAGCATTTGGTCTACGTGGACGGCATCCTTATCCTTCGGGTATTAATCTTCTAAAATTTGAAGAAGCAATAAATTAGAAAGTAGTCTATGTTAATGCAAATGACAAGGAAAAAAAGAGTAAAAAGTAAAAAGTAAAATGAGGTACATAAAAGGGTCCCATTGTGGTGGGGACAGGCAAGCCTGAGAACGTTTCATTTTCATTCAGGATTCCGTGCTTGGGCTTGGCAAGGAGCATGAACTTGGGTTTGTATTCAAATTGAAGTTTAGATTGGTTTGGAAGTGGTTCAATAAGTGTTTTTTGAAAATATGTAACAATAATAAAAGGAATGTATACATACGTACTCAATACCCTAAGAAATTTTAAAGGATATTTGGAAATTTCATTATTGGAAGAATAAGTTGTTAAATTTCTTAACTACGCCCATTTGAATTTAATATTAGGTTCCTATCACCGATATTAATTTCCTTTCAGTTTCATCGGGATATGAGTAAATAGAACCGAAATACTATAGTAGAGTAATTAATAAATAACAAGTAAATTATTGGAAATATTTAAACAGGGATTCCTAAACTTTACAGTGGTAAACATTAATAACAATAACAATTTCACTTAAAATTTGATTTAAATGTAATAGATAGACTGAACTAGGTGAGAAAAGATTTTATGGTCTTTGGTTTTGGAGTCATAGCAAAAAAAATGTTAGATAAAACAACGATTGTAAAGTTCATACAAATGTAATTTAATACAGGTACTTGTGATCTTTTTGATATAATCAAAATGAACTTTTTGTGAAAATCTGCAAAAAAATCGTAATGTATGTATGTGTGTATATATATATATATATATATATAAACACCTCATGCCATATGCCTTTAATAAATTATTTTTCTGAATATCAAATTAAGTTTCCGAAGCATAATTGATATCAGTAATTTTTATGAAGGCAGAATGAATGAGTAATCTAAAGTCTTCACACTAAAATACAATAGTAATTCATGGAGTAGTATGAAAATACATGTGCATAATTTCTACTACATAAATACTTTACTTATTTCTTGTTGTGATTACATGCATTGCTATCTCAATTGGTGATATTATAAAAAACATATAAGATTTTTGATACCATGTCTCTCTATTTTGTCTTTCTTTCTTTATATATTTGAGAAAATTAATTGCAATAAATTAGTAATGTAATACAAGTTTTAAATCAATACTATTGTTATTGAAGTCAGACCATAAGGTAACAGAATAATGTGAAATATATAGATTACACACATCATGATTGATATTTTTTAAGTGTATTATTTATATTGAAAAATGAACAATATATAGTCATTTGTGGCATCCATGTATATTTGATGATTGTTTATGTCATGTAAATCAATGATACATAATATTTAATGCATGGAGTTATATTAATAGATTATTTTAATTATTCTTTCAAATATTTCCTTATAATAAAAATCATGAATGTTATATAAATTGAAATTAATGGTAAAGAAGTGCAAAATGATCAGATTTTTCTGCTATGAAGCAGCAGTATAATGTTTATTGCACAAGGTAAGATAGAAATAATTATTATACTTATAACTTTATGTACACTTCAAATAGTGGCAATTCAATAATATTAAATAATTGTATAAGAAAGACTAATAAATATTTAATAAATGCTTTAAATTTATTGATACAGATTATAAAGATGTTTATTGTTTACATTTCAGATATTCGAATGTAATATGGTGAAACATAAGTCTGCTAAATGTTGGAGGTGTTTTATTTTTGTTTTTAATATATTTTTACCAAAGAAATCTTCAATATCAGACAAATTTCTATAAAAGAAATATAGAGATGTCATTTTTATGTACTAAAGTACAACAAACTTGTATTCATAGATTATCAATCAATGAAAACATATGAATGAACAGACTATTTATAGTATTTTCAATAGAGAAAAGCTGCTCTGTATTTAATGATGTGAAATACGTTTTGGTATTCAAAATGCATTCCAACTGTACCACAAACATGTAATCAATAAGCTGAGAAAAAAACATTTTTCATCATCGAAAAGAATTACACCAACCTTCCTTTAGTAAATACCTTCAGTAGGGTTGCAGTAGAATCACAACCCTAATTTGACCCACCCAGTAGAATAGCAAACTTGAACTAGTCTCCAACTTCAACACATTGAGTCCTATTTAGTAAATTACTTAGCAAAGCTGGGTGAATGTTTGTGTAGACATAATGACGAGGAAGAAGTCCTTCAAAGAAACGTCACCCTTGATACTTAGAAATTTCCATCGTCACAAGATGCATCTATCTACCGCACACACATTAATCCAACAAAAATGAAATTCTATTTTTTGGTGTTCTGTCCACGTGTTAGCCATGTAACTGCCATTTTTTTAAAGAAACAATGTTTCATATTTGATCCGGAGATCTGCATGTTGCTCTTGCGGTGCATGTGCTGCAGATTCTCGCAGCACATGCGCCAACATAGAGAGTAATGAATTTGGACATGAGCTCTGGAGTCGAGGTTTGAAAGCTTCGTGTTTAAATTGCTGCAGCTGCCGCAGCGGAACGCCGATGGTGCTGAACTAGAACTATCGATCTGTGCATCTGTAGCGGTTTCCCGAGCATCAGTCAAAACGTCAACGATCACATTTCGGAAGCGTTGGTATGAGTAAATCAGATTCAATGCAATGGGGGTGTGCAATGGCAATCAGCTGGAGTGCATTCTATGATGGAAATCGTGATGAGGTCATAGTTTAGTAAACGAAGACTGGCGGGATGAGTTACAAAGCATCCCAGCTTTTCATCTCCAAACGAGCTGCAACATCGTCGGAAAAAATACGCAGGATGTGATGGCGGTAAAACATTAGTGATTCACAGGAGCCTGTGTACATAGACTAAAGATGCGCAGTTTTGAAGTATTTCCATTATTAGCTCGAGTGTTGACAATTCACAGACGACGCTCCTATCGAACCATGATTTGTTTTGTCTGCTAATCCTTTTTAGGTGGGAAAAAGAAAAAAACAAAGGGAAGCACTCCCAGAAATGAGTATTCGTCCGAATTTGAACAGCTTCACATTCAATAGGCGTTCCTTTCAGTCATTGACGAGGACGATGCATCATCCGTCCTTCATTCCTAAACACCAGTCGGTTCAGTGCAGAACCAGAGATTCTACACTGGCCGACAGTCGTCCTGCAAAGTAAATGTAAGGTGTTGTGCCCTTGCATCGCCACGCCATCGGTGTGATGGATTCCACGTGTGTATGTGACGTTCGATCTGTCGTTTATGACAAGGAATTCGAGGCCCTTGGACTGATCCAGCTTCTTACACTCCATCCCTCCAGTTCTCGTCTCGTTGTAAGCTTCACTGCTGGTCTTGACCCCTCCGAGAACAGGCACACTTTTGCTAGAATCTAGTCGCTCCATCGCAACTAATCCTCATTCTAGGAGATACACCACTCGCCAGTGCCCGTGATTGAAGAACAAGTGTTATGCTTTGATTACGATGTCTTCAGCAATTTAGGGTGCCTTAACCACAGAACATGGTGCTTTTTCACCAACTGTTGCAGACAACTATGGAGATTGCAGGAGAACCTCTGTCTTTGGGTCCGAATCCCTTGGAGGAATACTGAAATGGATCCTGATGCTACAGAACCGAGACCAATCAGTCGACACGCATGGAAGATACGAGACCATCACCAGATCCAAGGCGAAGCGGCGAATTCAGACACGGGAAGAATGCTGCCTCGACGACCGGGAAAGTTACGGTGAGGTGTCAAATCAGGATACCAACTTGAATTCAAGTCCCGATTTGAAGTGTTGCTTGAACTGAGGGGCTATCTTCGATTGAGACTACTAGAAAACTGATAAACAGATTCGTCTTGTTTATCACTTTTCACATTTTTTGTTACAAGTATTACTTTCAGAGAAAATTTCGATTCATGTTAAGGATTTTAAGACTTGAATGTATTTTAGTATAAAAGTACGTAAATAATTAAATAAATGAAAATTATTATTTTAAAATAACATCCCACAAAAATGGCTTCAACTTCCTCCATCTGTAAGATTAAAACAATCTGCTTGTAGTATTTTAATTTTCGAAAAATAACAAAAATAATTATGCGACACATTTTGAAACGTGATTTTAAGTCGAGTTCTTAATATTTGGTAAATACGACAATTTTTTAATGCTCACAAATAGTTATTAGTTTCTATTTAAAACACAAACCAAGATCCTAGTACATTTCAATATTATAAGTGATTGTCTGATCGTGGTGTTTTATGTTATTATTAGTTTTGTAAAAAATAAATCATGTTAAATATGATCAAATCATATACAAGTTTATACAGTTTATGGATATATTATTATATTTCATCATAATTTATTATTAATAAAGAATTATATATATATATATATATATATATATATACATCTATTTTCTTTTGGAACTCCCTAAGACTTCAAATAATATTTATAAAAAAATTATATTTTTTTACAAATATTATCTATAAAATTATTAATAGAATATATTATTACAAAATAAAATCAATGCATTTTTAAAATATCGACCTATGCTTTCATAATATTAGAAGTATAATAAAAATCTATATTGATATCATTTTCAATTTCATTAATTTTATACTTTCACCACGTCTTTTTATTTTTAATCTAAAAATTATTTAAATAAATAACCTCAATTTATTTTTAACTTAAAATTTTATTTGAAAAATGATTCTTTATTTCTAATTTGTATATTTATTTTTTATTATTTTATTACTTTTTCTTTTTAACCAAAAATCATTTATAATTATTCATCAATATAGATGTCTAGAATATAACAAATACATTTTTATTGCAGCT